GTATTTTTCTAAAATAACAATGGTTCAGAATTCATTTTTTTATTATTCCTATTTTCAACATTGTAAACCATCTACAACTTCCTCACACCCAGACTCCTCACACTCTGTGACTTGAATACGTAAAATGTAAATTAATCCAGCCCTCGAGCACATTAGAAAAATTCCAAAAATCCAGAAGCTTTTGGGTCCCAGACTAATAACTTCCCCTGACCACATTTCAGTCCTCAGCCTCAGGAGGGTACTTACATTTGAACCAATCCTACCACTTCTTCAAGGGGCTGCATTAATGGGATCATGAACTCCATAAAGGCAAGTGCAGAGGGGGGGGGGAAATGAATTTGTGCCCTTTTTGTTAGTTACTTTTATGATGTATGAAGCTAGCCTAAAAAGGGGGTTTCTGCTTATTTTTTACTTCAGAAATATTAGGAACATCATCTTGTTTATGCTGCGGATCACTGTTGGGAGATGTGAACTGGGATCATCCTCAGCACTTAAATTGAAAAGAGGGAGGAAAGGTTGACTCTTTACCAAAGACTTTAACAAAGAGGTCTTATCTTCCATACCAACAAAACAAACAAACAAACAAACAACTCCAAATAACAATAAAAACCACTTGTCCTCTCAGCTAATCAGGTTTCATTATCCTAGTATCTGTGATGTCATAAATCTGCTAGTTCTCTAATCATCCATAAAGACTTCCAGGGTAGATAAGACCTGAATTTTTAACGTAAAACAAAAAAACAGAAAAACATAATTTTTTTGAGGACACCTTCATTTAAACAACATATAAAACCAAAAAAAGGTTACAGCCCCACTTTTTTTCTTCTGCAGGTCAATTGTAAATCCTGCTGAACTTCAGTTTTGGCCTCCAACCACTAAAATCTGGCTCCCTTAGTTTTCTATAAGGTTTTCCTTTGGCATCACCAGCGGGTGGTCATTTGTCCATGCGCGTCACAGCAAGCACTGCTTTGAGTCACTTCACTCAGGCTGCTGTGCGGAGGGTGTGAGGCTGAGAGCAGGCCTAGGTAGGGTTGCCAGGCATCCGGTTTCCGACCGGAACACGCAGTCAAAAAGGGACCCTAATGACTCCATTAAAAGTCTGTGCCGTTAAAAGTCTGGTCGGTCACCCACCGCGGGGCTATGGCAAGCTCCCTGTCTGCCCTACTTCCATGTGGCTCCTGGGAAGCTGCTGGCATCTCCCTCCAGCTCCTAGGCATAGTGGCTGCCACGGCGGCTCTGCATGCTGCTCCTGCCCAGACTGCCGACTCCACAGCTGCCATTGGCTGGGAACTGCGGCCAATGGGAGCTACAGAGGTGGCGCCTGTGGCCGGGGACAGCGCTTAGAGTGGGGGTTAGCAACCTTTCAGAAGTGGTGTGCCAAGTCTTCATTTATTCACTGTAATTTAAGGTTTCACGTGCCAGTAATACATTTTAACGTTTTAGAAGGTCTCTCTCTATAAGTCTATATTATATAACTAAACTATTGTTGTATGTAAAGTAAATAAGGTTTTTAAAATGTGTAAGAAGTTTCATTTAAAATTAAATTAAAATGCAGATCTTATCAGTTTAATGTGATCCTTGCCCTTGCTTTTCCTTGCTGAGTTTTCCAATGTCTGGCACGTATTTGGATACTTTAAGCTGCACACAGGCTTCTGAGTGATCAGTTGTTAACCAGCTCCAAGAGGGACAGAGGACAGATTTCATGTGTGAAAATACCTGTTCACACAGGTATGTGGATCCAAATGCTGAAAGCATTGCAAATGCAATTTTCTTCAAACAGTAAAATTTCACTGGCAGGGACGTCGAGCAGGTCAGAATAGAGGCCCCATGATCTCTCTTGGTATCTTCAAGTGCACTCCCACAGATCTCCAAAAACTTTGATGCCCACAATTCTGAGCTTTTTAACTGAATGAGCTGCATTTTGAAATCTTCAACACCCATCCATTGAAATACAGACAAATCCAAGTCGCTTTTGTTGAATTTTTCAGGTTTAATTAGAAAAGAAAGCATTGGGCCAAATTGCTGGAAAGCTTGTAATCTGTCAGAAAATTCCTATTCCAGTTCTTGCATGTACATTCCAATCTCATCGACACTGACAGTGCAACGTGTCTATAGCTCTTTTATGTGTTGGAAGTAGCGGAAAGTCGAAGTTCGAATATCCCGAGAAAAAACTGCTAATTTTACAACAAATGCCTTCCAGGCTTCATAAGGATCCAGAACCGTTTGCCCAGCAGCCTGGAGACAGAGGTTGAGTTAGTTTCGGTGAGCGGTGATGCCAGTTAGCAACATGAGCTTACACACCCATTTGTCATCATCCAGTTTGGGGTAGTTTTGTGCTTTCTCCAACAAAAAGGCCTTGATTGCATCAAAACCGTTTACAAAGCACAACAAAACCTTGCCACGACTTAGCCACTGAATGTTGCTGTGAAGTGGAATGTCATTAAAAGCACTGTCCATCTCTTCTAGCAGTGCTTGAAACAGTCCGTGAGTCAAAGCAGATCGAGCAACAAGGAAATTCACAATTTGCACCACTGTATTCATCACATTATTAAGCTCTGAATTAGAAATTTTAGCACACAGGTTTTCTTGATGGATGATACAGTCAAATTTAACTGTCGGGTGGCCAATTTGATCTTCAAGTAATTTTACAAATCCCTTCTGTTTTCCGACCATGGAAGGCGCACCATCTGTTGTCACACAATATTTTTCTGATGTCAACTCCTCGTTCTTCAGAATGGTTTACAAAACTTTCCACTATATCTTCCCCCTTTGTTGTGCCATGCAGGGGTTTTAGGCAACAAAGTTCCTCTTGGATTTCATCTGAAGCACAATATCTTGCAACAACTGCCAAACGTGGAAAGTTGTTTATATCCACGCTGTCATCAGCTGCAATGCTAAACACTGCTGTGGATGAATTCAAACTGGAACAGGTACAGAGAAGGGATACTAGGATGATCCGAGAAATGGAAAACCTGTCTTATGAAAGGAGACTCAAGGAGCTTGGCTTGTTTAGCCTAACCAAAAGAAGGTTGAGGGGAGATATGATTGCTCTCTATAAATATCTCAGAGGGATAAATACTGGAGAGGGAGAGGAATTATTTTAGCTCAGTACCAATGTGGACACAAGAACAAATGGATATAAACTGGCCATCGGGAAGTTTAGACTTGAAATTAGATGAAGGTTTCTAACCATCAGAGGAGTGAAGTTCTGGAATAGCCTTCGAAGGCAGTGGGGGCAAAAGACCTATCTGGCTTCAAGATTAAACTTGATAAGTTTATGGAGGAGATGGTATGATGGGATAACATGATTTTGGCAATTAACTGATCTTTAACTATTCATGGTAAATAGACGCAATGGCCTGTGATGGGATATTAGATGTGGTGGGATCTGAGTTACTACAGAGAATTCTTTCCTGGGGCAAAGGTCACTTGCTGGAGGATTCTCTGCCCCTTGAAGTCTTTAAACCATGATTTGAGGACTTCAATAGCTGAGACATAGGTGAGAGGTTTATTGCAGGAATGAGTGGGTGAGATTATGTGGCCTGCATTGTGCAGGAGGTCAGACTAGATGATCATAATGGTCCCTTCTGACCTTAATATCTATGAGTCTATGAGTCTTTTAATGCAGTCGTCTGCTTTTCATTAATGTTTTCTGCTATTTCGCTTATGCGTCTCTCAACTGTTCTGGCAGAGAGAGGCAGTTCTTTTATTCCAGATACAATCGTATCTTTATTTGGCAAATCATTGAACAATACCTCCAAACTGCCGAGAAAAGCATTTTATATATTCCCAATATATAAACGGCTTTCCGTTTTTTGCAGTGCACTGTGCAATCTTGTAACTTCCTTCTGTATCTTGATTTTTACTTACACTTGAGCATTTGAAAACATTGCTTTGCTTCTCATATCCTGCCACTGCCTTTTTGATCGATTCAGTCTTGACTGCTTCATCAAGAAAGGTTTTCTCATCCTTTGTTTCAAAATGTCGTTGAACACTTGATGTGCAACAAACACTTTCACAACAGAAAGCACAAACAAAAGAGGTCCTTCTTTTGAATAAATCCAAATGTGTCTGTACAAGAAGGCTGAAATGAACAGACATCTAACTTTGCTTTCTTAGGAGCTGACATTTTGTCAAAGGTACCCCTCAACTCACAGTGGAAAAAAATAATCGCGACAGATGGCAACCACAACGTCAAACATAGTGCGCTGTTCCACATGGCATGGTATAAGCAGCAAATCAGGACTTAAAAATATCCCAGTGCCGCTGGAACAATTTTTAAGGTGGGGGTGCTGCACTGCACCCCCCTTGCCCCTGTCTGCATCCATCACTACCCCAGGCTGGGGACAGCGGGCCACAGCTGGGGGCAGCTGCAGAGCGCCAGGCCGAGGCAAGGAGCAGAGCCCCGGGCCGGTGGCCGGTACCCCAGGCCAGCAGCGGGCTGAGCGGTGCCAGCAGAGGGAACCCTGGTTGGCAGCGGGCTGGCGGACGGAACCCCAGGCCGGCAGCAGTGTGCCATTGAAAATCAGCTTGCATGCCAACTTTAGCACGTGTGCCATAGGTTGCTGACCCCTGGCTTAGAGCCACCTGGCCTCGCCTCTGCCTAGGAGCCGGAGGAAGATACTGGCAGCTTCCTGGGAACCGCCTGAGGTCAGCACTGCCTAAAGCCTGAATGCCGCAGTCCCTCCCACACTCTAACCCCCAGCCCTGAGCCCCCTCCTGCACCCCAAACCCTCATCCCCGGCACCACCACAGAGCCTGCAGCCCCATCTGGAGCCCTCACCCCTCCCATACCCCAGCCCGGAGCCCCCTCTAGCACCCTGAACCCATCATTTCTAGCCCCACTCCGGAGCACGCACCCCCTGCCCGGAGCCTGTACCCACTCCCATACCCTAACCCTCTGCCCCAGTCTGGAGCTCCCTCCCACACTCCAATCTCCTTGGCCCCAACCTTCAGCCTGGAGCCCCATCCTGCACCTCAACTCCCCTCATCTTGTCAAAGTCAGATTCAGGACTCACATAATTTGTCAGACCACTCTGTTTATTAGCAAAGCGCCTTGCTAATGCACCCAGATGTGAGCCCCTCTCTGAGGCCCAAGATAACCTATTTATACAGCTAAGCCAAAGCCAATTTAACATAAGAGACAAAAGAAAGCAGAAACTGACAAATATACATACATATCTTATTTGCATACTAACGTTTACCAATCTCCTAGCTCAGTAGGAGCTCTGAGTTAATAAGTTTGAGGACCCATTGTCTCACACTCCTTAATGTTTCTCTTCCTGACAACTATATTTCAACAAACCCTTCAAGTAGCATTTCTTTAATGAATTATAATTTCAATATAATTCATTCTACTTTCACAACGCAATGACCAACAATTACTGGGTTCCACATATCAAGCGTTCTTTATCTCTTTGTTCATCAGTGATATTTAAAATCATCAAATTAGCACTCTGGTTTGGGACAGCTATCTGTGTAGCATGCCTGACACAATTTTGGATACAACAGGAAAGTAACTGAAAACATACAAAAATTATTAAGATTCCAAACAGGAGAGTTAGGGCTCCCTGAAACAACCAGTTTCCTATGCCAGAGAAATTGAAAAGGTTACTTAGCCACTTCCATAAAGAACTTGGCTCTTCGTGGGGAAGATATGCGATTTGTTCTAAGTGGCTAGCACGATCTGTTACCTCATTGGTGTTGTCTGGTATATACACACAGCAGTCTTTTCCAATGAGAGCACAAGTCCCTCCTTTTGCCGCCAGCACTATATCTAATGCCTGATGGTTTTGGAGGGCCATCTGTTGGATTGCTCCTGTTTCTTTGGATAGGGCTCTTAAACTTTCTCCGGATTCATTTGCCATTATTTCAACTACTGCTTGTAACCTTAGGAGCCTTTTTGTATGGTGTATTACTCCCCCTAATGGTATTAAGGAACTGCCAATGGCCTCTTCCCAGGTTAAGGGGCTTATGTTATTTATGTGCCATTAGGCATCTGTTAAGTCCCTTCTTTTTCGCCTGAAATTGCGGAGGCGTTCTCAAGGGAAGGTTCATGATCCCAGGTTGAGAAAAAAATTCATATCTCCATACCCGGCCCGCCACTTTTTAGTTTTGTTTGAATAATCCCATACACCATTGGCCACAATATGCTGAAGGCAACGGCTTTTCCCCAGATCCAGCCCTGTCCCATTACAAACCCAACACCAATGACCTTTTCCCTCCACCACACTTATCCATTTAGTTGCATTTATTCCCACCGCTTCCCAAGTGTCATTGCTGTTCCATATTTTGTTAAACGGACGAGGCCCTCCAGTGAGGTCTGGGGACTTGAGTGGGATATCCAGGACAGGAACACCAGTTTGAGAGTGGGCTGAGATGTGGCTGCGCAGACCCAGCAATTTGAAATATTAAGGGTCTGAGCTATCCGCACCTGCTGCTGGATAAAAGAATTGTCATCATGGTCTCCCCAAACTGTAAGATACCAGCAGCCAAGGAACAGGCAGAGGCGCATGTTGGAGGCAAGGCTCTTCTGGTTCTGACAATCTCAACTGAGGGAACCGCAGTCACGGTTTTACGCCCACCAGGGAGTAGGCGCTAGGCTCGCTACTGCTTTTTTTTTGTTTTGTTTGTTTGTCGTCTGCTTCTGGTAACCCTTATGAGAGCGTAGATTGTAAGGTTTTGCAGACTGTTCCTCTATGTCTTCTTCTGGAGTCAAAATTGACTCTGCATTGTCCTGAGGTGATGATTGGTTCTCTGGGGATGGTGCCTTCTTATACTGTGAAGCATGTATCCACGCTGCAATGCCAGATAGTTTAACAGCTGTCTGTGTAGTAAGCAGTACCTGATGAGGACCCTTCCAGCGAGGCTCCAAGGCGTGCTTTCGATGATGGCGCCGTACATAGACCCAATCACCTGGCTCGAGGTTGTGGCAAGCATCGGAGGTGGGTTCCGTGGGCCAGGCGACTCGAACCTGTGAATGGAAGTGACTTACAGCTTGCATTAGTCCCTTGCAATACTGAAGGAGCACACTGTGAGTCAAGTTCAAATCTGGAACGGGAGTAATGGTAGTCATAGCTCGCATAGGGCGTCCCATAACAATTTCAAAGGGACTTAATTTATGCCTTTGGGATGGAGTGGATCTCATGTCCATAAGGGCTAATGGTAAGGCTACTGGCCAGCTTAATCCTGTAGAGTCACAAATTTCAGCAAGCTTATTCTTAAGTACACCATTTCGTCTTTCAACTGCACCTGCACTCTGTGGGTGGTAGGGACAGTGCAACAGGTGTTTGATGCTCAATATACGGTCCAGGTGTTGAACAAGTTGTCCAGTAAAATGTGTACCCCGATCCCTAGACAGAACAGCAGGAATTCCCTTGGCAGGCATAATATGATTTAACAGACATTTGGCAACAGACAATGAGTCAGCCTTGCGACAAGGAAGGGCTTCAATCCAACCAGAGAATAAACATACCATAACCAATATAAATTCATATTGTTGACACTTAGACATTTGTACAAAATCAAGTTGCCAATGCAAGAACAGTGCTTGAGGCATGCCCCGGAACCCGTGGGCCACTTTTACAGGTTTACCAATATTATGGCTTTGGCAAATGGTACAGGCTGCACAGTGGCGGGCTGCAAAAGAGCTAAAATGGGGGGCCCACCATCCTGTCTTAGTTACAGCAGAGACCAAAGAGAGAAAGAGACTAAAGAGAGACTTTCAAAGGAGAGAAAGTGCACAGGAACCCTGGGAGAGGAGAAAGCCGAGGTATGTGACAGAAGCTTGACGGAGTTGTAGGTTAGAGCGAGAAGCTTTCTGACCCTTATTTGCTAGGGCAGTAAGGAGCACTAAAGAGTCAGTTTCAGAGGCAGACAATGAAGGGGAACAGAGGCATAGATCATCTACATATCGGACTAGTGTGGACCTGGACAGGCAAACAAGGTCAGCAAGGTCTTGGGCTAATGCTTGGGAAAAATATGATGGGCTTTCAGTATACCCCTGGGGCAGTGTGGTCCATGTGTACTGTTGCCCCTTGTAAGAAAAGGCAAACAGGAACTGGGAGTCAGGGTGACCCTGGAGAGTAAAGAAAACGGAGCACAAATCAACAACAGTAAAATGAGTTGCATCTGGTGGGATAGAAGCCAGAGTCTTTGAGAGAGGCAAGTTTTGATTCTGTCCACATATGATTTGCCTCTTCCCACCACAGCATGAAACAATCAACCTCTCCTTTTGCCAATTTAGTTGTAGGTTGGCCAAGTTTGTCTTTTAAGATGTCTACTCGGTCTTTGTTCCAAGATCCTAACAGTGGCCATTGAATTTTGGGATTCTCCTGAGTTAGCCTTTTGCATTCCCATACACATCTTCCCCCCGTTCCCCCAAGGTCAGCCTTTTGAAGCCATCCCCCACCCATGTCATGAGGTTTTCTGTTCATTAAAACACAACAATGCTAGCAAGAAGACAAACACCACAGACAAACAACACAAAACATAGATCCATGGTATTCTGAGTTATTCTTCCGCTGGCGCCAGCTTGCTTGTAGAGTCTAAAAACAAAAGAAACAATTTCCACCCCCCTGGTGGGGACAGATTATTGCTTAATAATAATACCACTTTCTTTTACAAATTTCCTTGCTAATTGCAGGAAAAACAGAGAAATTGCCCCCACATTTTCCTGTTTTTGTTCTTTAGGCAGGCCAGGTTTCAATGGCTTTTATCTTTTAAGGGTTATGGGGAAATTATCCCACTGTTTAGTCATTAAATACCTGAGTTTTCCTTCTTATACAGGTTTCAGAGTAACAGCCGTGTTAGTCTGTCTTTGCAAAAAGAAAAGGAGTACTTGTGGCACCTTAGAGACTAACCAATTTATCTGAGCATGAGCTTTCGTGAGCTACAGCTCACTTGTGTAGCTCATGAAAGCTCATGCTCAAATAAATTGGTTAGTCTCTAAGGTGCCACAAGTACTCCTTCTTATACAGCAGACCAAGTTTATAATGTTTTTCCTGCTGTGTTAAGCTTTAAGTTTTATTTACAGGTAATAACTGAGAAGCATCATTACCATATGACCTTAAAGGGTTTTTCCAAAAATCATATACACTATACGTTGTTACAGGGATACTTATCATTAAATTTATTAAAATTATCTTGTTATCCCATGCCTTTTATTTAGAAAATTTGCTGACCAGGTATGTCCTTTATCTGCAGCTCCTTTGTGCTGCTAGTTCTTTCCTTCCTTTATCATTTAGGTAATTTGCATTTTCACAGATACTTCCTGCTTTTGGATTTAAAGCCATCAGCAGCTCAGAGACTCTATCTTAAAAGGGACACAATCAACTTTCACCAGAGTTTTGATTACTTTTAACTTCTGCTTCCAAAACACACAGCAATCTGAAAAAGAAAACCCAACCTATTGTGGCTCCCTTTGGAGCCCTAACAGCATTTTAATTAAGTAGCATGGTATGTTTGCATTTCTTTTGCCCCTTCTACAATATACCCTGCACATGTTCTGGGGCAAATGCACATTCCTTCCATAATTTAACTTCTATAACATTATCCAGATCCATTTTTACATAAGGTGTAGCTATTTATTGTTTTGCTTACAGAGTTTTCATGTAGCTTTATCAAAGTGACTGTCTGATTACTCAGAGCCATTTTAAGACTCAGTGTTTCTAACATTGCTTCTTTTTGTTTTGTGCACTTCACCCCTGCTGTTGCTTCAGAAGGGCATTGTCTTTTTTTAATTTTTTTTTTACTACAACTCTCATCTGCTATTTTGTTACAAAAAACAAACAAACAAACAAACAAAAAGAATCCAGAATTTTTTTTTCTATTCTCCTGATTTTGACTGCCCTGCTGCAGCCACAACTTAAAAACATTTTAAATTTTGTAAAGCATTGAGTTACCTTTTAAGGGTTAAATGCCAAATCCCAAAGCCAAACAACACTAATTACCTGTGTCTAGCAAAAAGGTCTGTCAGTTTTGCAACTTTGAATTAAAGAGTCAAATGGATTTTTAGTGGCATTATTTAAAACAAAAACAAAACCAACTGGTCCTTAGAACTTTACATATTTACACACACACAGACAGATACATACACTTTTTCTTTCCCTAACATCCTTTCCACACTGCTCTGTTGTTTTTTTTTACATCTTATATTCCCTTTATACATTTGAGGCAGTTAAGTTCCAATAGAACACCCTTACATTCTTTAGTGATTTTGATTAAATTACCCAATAGTCAAACAATTTTTATCAGATTCTCTCTCTGCCTGCTACCTGCAGCAGTCCCTTATAGATCATTTCTGTGGGAAAAGGGCCCATTTTCCCTCAGAATAGCTGTAAAGGCTTCTGGGGACAGAAGCGTAGAGCTGGTAGTAGTCACTCTACCTGACCCCCTTAGCCTAGACCATTTTTCCAGAAATTTACAGGAGTCCGGACTCTTCCTAAAATACATAAACTGAGCCGGCGTTCCTTTAGGGAACTGTCCCGACTTAGACATCTGGTTACCCATACAGGAGGACTTTACACACCAATCACACAAGAAGGAAAGTCGCGTTCATCAGAGCGATGCCCGGTGCAACACACAAAAGGAGCCCACAGGCTACTGCCTCAATCGCCCTTGCTTTCACACCACGGGTTTTACCCAAGGCGCGGTGCAGGTGCGATTGTGCAGATTTCACTCATTCAGACCGTGGGGACAGGAACCCTTTGGTCAGCCGATCCCCAGACGGAGACGGCGCCCAGACTCAAACACACCACAGGGAGGACGGATAGACACAGAGACCAGACAGTCCTCAGTCTGGACAAAACATAGAAATAATTACCTGACCAGATTCCTGATGTCAGATCCTGGGATCCCTACCAGAACAGAGTGGGAACCAACAGGTTCAATGGTGTAGACTTCACAGTGGTCATGCACCCTTCCATTCTGGTGGAGGACCGCTCGGGCCAAATGCCCAGGTGCCGGCTTGCCACGGCCATCCTAAGAACAGTCAGGAGTCACACGGCCCCAGTGAAGACGGTTGTCATCTCGGTGGAACCTCCAAATTGTCAAAGTCAGATTCAGGACTCACATAATTTGTCAGACCACTCTGTTTATTAGCAAAGCGCCTTGCTAATGCACCCAGATGTGAGCCCCTCTCTGAGGCCCAAGATAACCTATTTATACAGCTAAGCCAAAGCCAATTTAACATAAGAGACAAAAGAAAGCAGAAACTGACAAATATACATACATATCTTATTTGCATACTAACGTTTACCAATCTCCTAGCTCAGTAGGAGCTCTAAGTTAATTAGTTTGAGGACCCATTGTCTCACACTCCTTAATGTTTCTCTTCCTGACAACTATATTTCAACAAACCCTTCAAGTAGCATTTCTTTAATGAATTATAATTTCAATATAATTCATTCTACTTTCACAATCTCCAGCCCCACTCCAGAGCCCTCACCCCCTCTCACACCCCAACCCAATGAAAATGAATGACTGAGCAAGGGTGGGGGAGAGCAAGCAATGGAGGGTGGAGAAATGAAGTGAGTGGGGGTGGGGCCTCAGGGAAGGGGTGGGGCCGTGTCAGGGTGTTCAGTTTTCTGCAAATAGAAAGTTGGCAACCCTAGGAAGGACGCTGGTGCAAGCCCCTAGCAGCAGGGCAGCTGGGGCATGCAGCACCCCAGGGTTCTGTGGACAGCCCCCAGTACAGCCTGTGAGGCCTGGCTGTGTTCAGGGTGTGCCCTGGTGTCACCTCACCCACCAGGGTCCCCGGGGGGAGTGGGGCAGCTACAGGGTAGGAAACTACCCCATGTGGGAGCCAACCCATTCCTTGCGCGGCCAACTGTGGTGGGTGTGTTCCTGAGAGTGCAGCTCCTGGGAGCGCCTGGGTAGCCAAACGGCTCCACTACTTTCCTTACAGAGTCAGCTGCTGCCCCTCGCAGTTACAGAGCTGAACTTGAAAATGTGACCTTCATGGGCTCCAAATGGGCAAACAAGAGACCCCCACCATTCCCTTTATTAAAAAAAAAACCAACTCTCATGGTTTTAAGCCAGTCTCCTGATTTGGCAGGGAGGGCTGACTCATGACAAGACATCGCCGTCATGCATGTAAAAGGTTGCCATAAGGAGGAGTGTGATAAATTGTTCTCCTTAACCACTGAGAACAGGACAAGAATTTATGGGCTTAAATTGCAGCAAGGGAGATTTAGGTTAGACATTAGGAAAAACTTCCTAACTGGAACAAATTGCCTAGGGAGGTTGTGGAATCTCTGTCAGGGGAGGGTTTTAAGAACAGGTTAGACAAACGCCTCTCACTGGTAATCTTAATACTTAAACCTGCCCCAGTGCAGGAGGCGGACTCAATGATTTATGGAGCCCCCTTCTAGGCTTACATTTCTATGATTCTGTTTTAGACAGGTGAGGTTGGCAACAACACCCGCCCTGCAACTGCAGGGGGCGCCAGAGCAAGCGGGGAACCCTCCATCGCCCCCGTGCGGCCGCTACCGCGCCCGGCAGGGCAGCACAGCTCCGCCCCCTTCCTGCGCGGACTATATGGGGTTGTGCGCAAGCGCGCTATAGGGCGGGGTTACCTGTGCACGAGTCCTCGCTAGCCCCGCCCCGTGGAACGCAGTGAGCGCACAGGACTGCACCATCACATAAGCGGGGGGGGAGGAGTTAAGGTTCGAACCATCTCTGCCGGGCGGGGGTCGTGAACAGCAGAGTCACTGCAGAGCAGCCGCGCTCCCCTCTCTACAGTGTGCGGCGCGGTTGCGTCCCGGGCCCTTCTGACGCCCTCTCCTCGTTGATGGTTTAGCCCCTGTGTCCCTCGTCGCCCCCCACTGGCCGGGCGGTGGTTCGCTCCGGGACCGTGCTCTCCGGAAGTGTTGGGGCAGTTAGAAGCGCCCCTAGTTTCTGCCAGTTCCGATTGGACCTGAGTCTCTACGGCAGCCGCCAGGTGAGGCCGCGTCGCGCAGCCCCGGTGACAGCGCAGGGCCCGGGCGGGGCGAGGGGTCCCTGCCCCAAGGCTCTGGCGGGCCCCGCCCGGGAGCGGAGAGCAGCTCAGGGCCGGTCTCCGCGCCGCACCCCCGGGCCGGGCCGGGCCCCGCCTCGCCCAGGGGAGGCCCACGGGTCCCTCCTTCCGGGGACCAGGCGCTGGCACGCGCTGCTGCCCCGACTGTCGCTGGGAACCGCGGGGCGGGCGTTACCCGGGGCCCTGCGCAAACGTCTCGGGCCGACCCGCCCTGGCCGCCCACCCCCTGGGGGCCCGGACAGCCCGCAGCGGGGGCCGCTTCCATCCTGGCGCAGTTGCCCCTTCAGCTGCGGCACCGCTGGGAGGGGGCGGAGGGAAATTGCTTGCCAGCCCCCTCAGCGTCTGAGAGACGGGTCAGCGCCCGGGAGCTCCGGCCTGGAAAGGGACTGGCAGGAAACGGCTGCAGAAAGTCATGGCAGGGAAGCCTCCCCCCCCCCCCCCCCCAATCCCCATCCCCGCTGGTGCGATGCTGAGCTGTGCAACCGCTCGCACTGCGCCTCGGTTATGTAGCATTTTTCAATCCGGAAGGATCCGAATAGGCTGCATAAACTGTGTCTACCTACCCAGGAGTTTGCTACGCTCGTCACACTGCAGTGCAGCTGTAGGGGAATGTGGTGTGACAAGAGTGAGAGAGCAGTGATGGAAGGGAAATAATGGAATAAAAGAGAGCGGAAAATAGAAGAGGTAAGACAAGGAAAGGAAAAACAAGTATCCCATTCAAAGTGGTGGGTCTAGTCCAGGGGTCGGCAACCTGTGGCACAGGCTGACTTTTAGTGGCACTCTGCTGCCAGCCAGAGTCCCAGCAGTCAGCCCCGCTCAGCCCGCTGCTGGCCTGGATGGACGGAACCCTGCGTTGGCTGCGGGCTGAGCGGGCCAGCGACCGGGACCCCGCCTGGCAGGGGCCGGCAGACAGAGCCCCGGGCCAGCAGCGGGCTGAGCCGCTCAGCCTGCTGCTGGTCTGCGGTTCCATCTACTGCCGGTCTGGGGTTCTGGCCGCCGGCCCCTGCCAGCCTGGGTTCCGGCTGCTGGCACCACTCAGCTCACTGCCCATCTGGGGTTCTGTTGGGGGGCCCCCTGTAAATGTAAAATTTATTACTGGCACGCAAAACCTTAAATTAATGAAGACTTGGCACACCACTTCTCAAAGGTTGCCGACCCCTGGTCTAGTCATTGAACTGAAGCACTGATTCCAGAAGAAGTTAATTCAAGCATTAGGAAGTTGTACCACAGGGTGAGATTATTCAAAGGTAAGGGACAGAATATGGGGCACTTACATGGCTCTTATGTTCTTTGGCATTAGTGGGACATTGGCATACTTTGACCTGCTTCTGAAATGGAACTGTGCTTTTTATTATAGGGTTTAGTGTGCCACTTTATTGATGTAAATACAGCGACCGAACTGAGTGTTGTTTTTTTAGGATCTGACTGGCTTTAAACTTGAGTAATGTATTCATATAGCACCACAAATTACTATTTGCTGTGGAACTGTGGAGTTCAGTTGCTGAGCGTTTTAAGAGGCAGACTACTGATCAGTGCTCTATTTGCTCCACCTAGTCTCAGATAGTGAGTAAAATGCAGACCAGAGACCCACTCCTCATTCAGACTGTGCAAGCACGTGGACCTAGCTATCTTGAGAGCCACTGGGTTTTATAGAGCCATGTGAAAATCCAAGCCAACGTTACATGATGGGGAAGAAGAAATGGGTGTGCACGCAGATATTTACTATTTTTAACTGCTTCCTCTTGTGCCTTTTTGTGCTATCTTTCATTTTAGATATAACCCCTAATTAGACAATGGGAAATTGTCAAACAGCTGGTGCAATGTTTACACTGGTGCTTTACAGTGTTGAAACTTGCTGCGCTCAGGGGGGTGTTTTTTCACACTCCTGAGCGAGAAAGTTGCAGTGCAGTAAAGAGCCACTGTAGACAAGCCCTCACTTTGATGGGCCTCAAGGTCTATAGGAGCAGAGCTTCCTTTCTGCAGATCCATATAGCACCCCAGTTAAACTTTGGAACGCATCTTACTTAAGGCCATGCATGGAAGAGAGAATTCTAAACGAAAATAGCTTGACACTGTTTCAGTGGAATTCAGTTTACACTTACCCCTCCCTCCCAAAAATGTGCTTTTTAATAATACTGCAACTTCAAAAAAACTTCCAAATGTTAGATCTGGAACCTGTCAGTTATTGTATCCAGCCAATTCCTTATTTATCCTTAATCTCATCCAGGGGTGAAAGTAATTTAAAGGACTTGCTGGTACTCGGATTCCTGAGGAGGGGGCGGGGGCCTTTAAATCCCCAGGCCCTTTAAATCAGGGGCTAAGGCTGTGGTAGCAGCAGCTGGGAGCCTGGGGCCCTTTAAATCACCCCCTGAGCTCCCAGCTGCAGAGGTGGCTGGGAGTCCTGAGGCTCGGGGGTGATTTAAGGGGCCCGGAGCTCTAGCTGCCACTACCACAGCAGAGCCTTGGATCCTTTAAATTGCCAATGGAGCCCCGGGGGTCCAGCAGCAGGGCCCGGGGCTCAGGCTGCCGCTGCCCTCAAGGGCCCTTTAAATCGTCCCCGGAGCCCTGTTGCTGGAGCCCTGGGGTAGCAGCGGCGGGGCTCCGGCAGCTATTTAAAGGGCCCGGTGTGGTAGAGGCTGCCGGAGCCTCGCCGCCCCTACCCAGGACTCCGGGAGGCTCCGAGGGCTATTTAAAGGCCCTGGGGCTATCGCTGCCTCTACTGCCCCAGGCTCTTTAAATCACCCCCGGAGCTCTGGGGTAGCAGCAGCGGGGCTACAGCGGCGATTTAAAGGGCCCAGGGTGGTAGCGGCGGCAGGAGCCCTGGGCCCTTTAAATCGCCACCCAGGCCCCGCTGCTGCTACCCCAGGGCTCTGGCAGCAGTTTAAAGGGCCTGGGCCTCCTGCCGCTGCTGGGAGCCCCAAGCCCTTTAAATTGCTGCCTGGGGAAGCCAGTCTGCCCTGGTATGGCGCACTGGCTCTTGCCGGCAAGGTGGCAGGTTTGTAGAAATTTTGGTGGTGCCCAGAACCTGCCTCTGCCCAAACTCTGCCTCCCCCCCCCCCCCCCAAACTCTACCCCCTACCTGCCCAAGGCTCTGGGAGGGAGTTTGGGTTGGGGAGGAGATCTGGGGTGAAGGCCCTGGGCTGGGGCAGGGGATTGGGGTGCAGGAGGGGTGCAGGCTCTGGGAGGGAGTTTGGGGATGGGAGGGGGTGCAGGGGTGAGAGCTGTGGGGTGTGGCTGGGGATGAGGGGTTTGGGGTGTGGAAGGGGGCTCAGGGCTGAGGCAGAGAGTTAGGGTGCAGGGGGATGAGGGCTCTGGCTGGGGCTGCAGATGAGGGGTTTGGGGTATTGGGCTAGGGCAGAGGGTTGGGGTGTGGGGGGATGAGGGCTCTGGCTGGGGGTATGGGCTCTGGGGTGGGGCAGGGCTGGGGATGAGCTTGGGGTGTAGGTAGACTGCCCTGGGACTGGAGCCAGAGAGGAGGACTCCCCCAAGCCCTCTCCCCACTGGCAGCAGCGAGCTCTGGGGTAGGGGCCCCCCCTCCGGCAGCACACTCATCCTCACCACTGTCACTGCAGGTGCTCCTAGGGCCCCTCTCAGGTCCAGAAATCTCCCTCGCCTCCCCTGTGGTGGGTGCTGGGGGTGGGGGCCTGCCATCACATGTGCACCTCGTCCCCTACTGCTGCCCCTCACTGTAGCCTCACTGGGAGTGGGGGATGGGGCTGGCCCTTGGCCATCATGGGGCAGGCGCAGTGACTGCGGGCAGTGGGGGCGGCTGTACTAGAGGAGGGTCCCACCGGAAAATGAAAGGGTCTGAGGGGGGAGGGCAGCCTGCCATGCCACTAGTGGATGTGGAGCACTAGGACCCTGCGGCAGCAGTGTATGCAGAGAGGCAGCATGGTGCTGCAGGAGAGAGACAGGCATGCTCTGCTCCCGGCACCCAGGGAGGCACGCGGTGGCAGCAAGGGGGAGCCAGGGGACACTCGGGGGAGATGTGAGGGGGCAGCAGGTGGGACCAGACGGGGAGACCCGGCCCTGAACATTGGTGGAGCCGGGCCTCTGGGCCCTCAATATTGATGGAGCCATGAGCCCATATAACTCGCCTCTGCTGCTTGCCGGTAAGCCGTACAGGGGCGTAGGGGCTTACTTTCACCTCTGATCTCACTCCACCTTTATTTACCATGCTCATCCAACTTTAACCTTAACGTTTTCAGAGTTTACAAACTCTACTTACTCTAAAACAGGGTTGTTTTCTAACATCAAACCAATTATTCAATTTGTAAAAATATTATTCTATTCCACCAACCTGCCATCATATTAGAAGCCATTGAGCTCCATTATAACTGATGCACCTTGGAAATATATTCCTTCAGTATTGTCATTGTACATTTAATAATCTTGGATAGGATACATTCTACAGCATATTTTTATTTCAGAATAAAACGAGAACAGAGTTATGGTTGGGTTTGTGTTGTAAACATATTGAGGTGATAGTGACTTGTGAATGATTATACGGCATTGGGGAACTGCTTAAACTACTTAGCACATCATTTCCAGACTGTACAACTTAAACCAAAAAAAACCCAAAATGTTGACTGCTCTCATAAAGCAAGCTTGATATTTTTTCATTTTCAAACTGAAGTCTTATAATGACTTTTTTTTTTGGTTCGAAGTCTGGCTGTTGTT